TAAAGTACACGGTCCTGCTGTTGAGTAGCTTGTATATTTTTCACTGCTGATTTACCGACTGACCTCTGTTTCTGTTATTCCATTGATTATTTATTTGAAATACTGACCACAACATGAAGGCATTGTAGCCAATACTTTTTTAAAATCTGTAAAAAGCAAAATCATGCAAATGCTTGAAATCTGAAAAAAATGCAGAGAATACTGAACTTAGCAGGCCTAGCAGCTTCTGTGGGTACGGTTAACAATTCAAGTCCGATATGATTTATCTTCGGAACACTGTTCACAGATGTTGCCAGACATGCTCAATTTCTCAAGCATCTTCTGTCTTTATTCTTAATTATGTGGTATTGTAGTGTGGTAAATAGGTCTACTGAGAAATGCTGAGAGTTACGTTTTTGCAAGTGAGAATTCACGATTCGGTTACTGTTAACACATCAAATTAAATTGGAGTTGGTAGTGACATTGCTAAGGTAGAATTGTTAAAGGAAAAAAGTTTGGTGAAGCCTAATTGCTTTCCCTTTCTTATATGCAGATGTGCAGGGTATGCAGTTAACAAAAAAATGTTTTAACAGCATATTGTACAGCAGCTCAGGTGAAACATCTGCAAGCCCTTGAGCACTCAGTGGAAAGCTACATATAAACTCCAGCCTATTTGCATTGTTTTAATGTGTTCCTGTTTGGAAGTAGATCAGGCTCTTTTTTGTTCATTTGTTCGATGATCTGGTGTGTCTTCCTAGCATGTCCTCTTCTCATTTGAGTTGTAGAATTCAAGCTATCTTTATTTATTTTGAGGATGAATATGATGCTGTATAAAAAAATACCTATTTGTCAAAGTTTTTTTTCCTCCTGTAAATCATTCTCCTCTTGTTTCTTCCTCTACAATATTGCTTAATTAGCAACAAATTTGCTTGCAAATTGGTTTTGCTCACAATGCAGTAAGGTAACAATACTTATTTATTATGTAAATTGAATTTCTAAGAAGGGATTTGAGCTGTAATTTTATGAAATGATACTTGCATATTGACCATTCAAGGATGTTTTTAACACATACGTGTTATTAAATGCAATACTTCTGGATTGATAATTACACTAAAATATTTGTATTTGTATGACATCTCTTAGCACTTGCTAGTTGAATAGCTTTTTCAGAGTGAAATATCTGGTGCATATCCAAGCTGCTGTAGAACAAAGCCAATACATAGTAGAAAAGGCATAAGCACTATCACATCTTTCTGCAGAGCAATTTTTCAAACATTACATTTAAACACTAATTCACTTTTTTTCCACAGAAACAACTCGTAAATATGCTTCTGCTTTTAAAATACAACTATATGCTGTTCTCAAACAACTGCTCACAATATTCACTTGGAGTGCAGAAATCTGCAAGTGTGATTCCAGCTGGGGGTTTACTGTCATTTGTATTCAAATATTATTTGTATGTTTAATTATACATAGCATGTCCACACAGTTTACCCAACACTTGAGTTTCTGTGGTCATTTGGTAATTTTTAGTGTTTTAATTGCTTCATCTACATACCATATCTGCCATCAGTGCATTGCATACTTGCTGAGCTGTTGGGACTTGATACTGGAGATGGGGAGTAAATGCTGACCAATTGACCCTTCTCAACTGCTAAATTTAATGGAGTTTGCTGCAGATTGATAATTACTTAATATGAACAGAACCTATGAAATAATTGCATGTTTATATACCGAGCTATATCTCCTATTTGTGCTGTACAGCTGTTCAGAATGATCTGATGTTCAAAAATAAAACTGTCATTTCACAAAATCTTTTAAGGCAGTGACATCATTGGAATTAAAGCTTTACTTTGTACAATCACTTTCTTTATGCTTTTGACTTGCAAAGCACCAAAATTCTGTAGTAGTGGATGTACACTGCCAAAGGCTTTACAGCATTTCATTTTGAGCTTTATCCCAAATGCATTACTGTTCTGGTGCATAGAGCAATATTTAGTTCCTTTTTTTTCTGTCACTGCTCATTCTTCATGGGATACAGTTCAACAGCTGCTGACTGTTCTGTGTAAGCAGTTAACAAATTTTTGCTAACTGTGAAGTATCCCAGTTGAACCCTTGCTTTTCTTAAACACTGTTCAGGTCAGTGTTTTCTCTTGGGACTTAAAAATTTCTTTAGCTTGGTAATGAAACTACTTATGGTACACTTGCAGCCAAGCCACGAGTTTCTATTTGTACACATAACTACTGACCCACTTAGCAACTAATCTTTAAGAAGATGAAAAATACATTATTAAACTGAGCACTTTCTACACTAAATATGGTAGAATTTCAGTGTGCTGAAAATACAAGTTATTTCAAGAAGTTTAAATGAGGTCACCTTGACACCAAGAGTTTTGTCAATTTATGATCTTGCTAACAATTTAAGGACATCACGTTATTGTGTTGTGCTGTGGAAAGACCTTATTTTGCAACAGCTAATCATTTTTGTATCCCATCCTCGTTAACTAGTTACTTGTATTTTAACAGATTCAAAGATTTTAAATGTACAGCTAAGAATGAAGCTTCTAGTTAAGGTCTTGATTAATCAGTACATGAAAACTTTGTCATTATTGGTTTATTAATTCACTTGCATAATAAACTAACAACTCAACAATTTGATCTGTTCCTTTTTAATGTTTTCACATGAGTAGGTTTTGTGAACCACGGGTCCATGTTTTCATTCCTTCCCTAAGGGCACGTCGTGAACATCAGCTCAGGCTATTAGTGCCTTGGTTTGTGGACAGGCTATAGGGGCCCTGGTGTACAGCAGAGCTCTGTTTGGGGCAAGGGTGGGGTCGGGAAAGTTACCTGGATGCTGTGTTTTAGGAGGCAGTCATATCCCTTAGATTAACTACCTTAAAACTTTGTCAGTGAGAGGAGGGTGTGACTACAAGTGTGGCAGGTAGAAGGATTCTTATTTCCTGTGTGAATGAGTAGTTTGCTGATCTTCCCTCCAGCACACCCAAAGATAGCATCATGGTACAGAATGTATTATAAGTGAGTAACAGTAACAACAAAGACATGAGGGAGGAGTAGTCCAGAGCACTTTAGAAGGGGAGCCTACCAGGCAAGATAATGGCAGGAGTTTCTGGGGGTAATTCAGGAGCCGAAGCAGGAAACATACTGAAGGGAGGATCAGGCAACCACAGCTGTCAAGCATAAAACCAAAAGAAAACACATTGTGATGAATATTTGTGGGAAGCCCAAGGATTGTATAGCCTTTTTAAAAAAAACACACAAGCAGAGGACAATAAAAAATATAAAAAAAAGACAGGGGGAGCAAGATGAAAAATGAGCCTAAGCTAGAAAGTAATAAAAAATGTAAACAAACACTCTTGTAATATCTAAAAAGGCAAGAGAATTTACACTGCACTAGAGGAAAATTAGGCTGGAGAAGTTGTAACAGGGAACAAAAATGTCAGAGGATCTGCATTTGTACTTTGCATCAATTTTCACAGTGGAAGATACCAGCAACTTAAGAACTTTGAGTCAAGGGCCAAAGATGAGTGGCCATCACCAAGGAGAAGTTGCTGGGGAAGCTGAAAAGTCTGAAGGTGGATAAATCACCTGGACCAGATGGACGACACACCCGAGTTCTGAAGATTGTAGAGGTATTGGTGGTGATCCTTCAAGAATCAATAGGCAGAGAGCATCCCAGAGAAATGGAAATTAGTTAATGTAACATCCCTTTTTAAAAAGGGAGGAGCAAAAGGCAAGAAACTATAAGCCAGTTAGTATGACCTCAGTCAGTGTTTAAAATTTGAGTCCATTATTAAGGATGAGATTAGAGTACTTGGTAAAATAGGGCAGATTCAGTACAGCTTTGTCAAGGGGAGGTCATGCCTGACAAATCTGTTAGAAGTCTTTGAGGAGGTAATAAACAAGTTAGGCAAATGGTAGCCAGTGGATGGGATCTATTTGGATTTTGGACAAGGTGCTGCATTGACTGCTAAATAACAGCCCTTGATGTTAAGGGCAAGGTTCTGATATGGACAGATGATTGGGTGGCTGGCAGAAAATAGGGATAAAAGGGGTATTTTTCAAGATGGTAGCCAGGGAATAGTGGGGGTCTGCAGAGGTCAGTGTTAGGACCACAACTATTCACATTATACATTTAACAATCTGGCCAAAGGAACTGAGGACATTTCAGAAATAGTAGGAACTGCTGATGCTGGAGAATCTGAGAGAACAAAGCGTAGAGCTGGATGAACATAGCAGGCCAGGCAGGAAAGCTAACGTTTCGGGTCTGGACCCTTCTTCAGAACAGAGGACATTGTCATCTGCAAAATGCATCACAAAGATAGGTGGAGGGACAGGCAGTGTTGAGGAAGGGGAGATGCTAAAAGACTTGAACATACTAGGCATGTAGCCAATGAAGTGACAGATCTAATACAATGTGGGAAAGTGCGAGGTTATACACTTTTTGTTGGAAAGAAAGCTGAAGGACAAAGGGACTTGGGAGTCCTAGTTCAGCACTCAAAGGTTAACATGCAGGTTCCATGAGTGGTTAGGAAGTCAAATGCAATGTCAGCATTCATTTCAAGACGGCTAGAATGCAAAAGCAGATGTATTGCTGGGGCTGTATAAAGTTCGGGTCAAATCCCATTTGGAATATTGTGAGCAGTTGTGTTCGGGAGGTGGGCAGGAGACGATCTGATTGAAATTGTATCCTGTAAGTTTCATGGTTGAGAAGCCAATGTCAGCCTAACCAGTATACATTTCATATCATATCATTCTGCAAAGGAACCAGTGCACCAAGAACAGTACGATTGTCATGACAATCAAATCTGATCTTTGTGTATACACACACACACACACACACACACACAAAAAAAAGCAGGTTATAAACATCAATATTAGATTAAAATGAAAATGCCAAAGAACAAACTGATGAATTATCTAAAATCTACCAATTAGTTTTCCAGTTGATCTCATCGCTCTGGTCCCTCATTCCTCAAAGCTGATTCAACAAGATCATCATCTTGCTTGTGAACAGTTGATTTTAATGCAAGCTAGACACAAATACACATTATTAAATACAAGGTAGAACTGTGAGCTTATTAAGCAAATTAAATCTCAAAAGCAGTGTACAAGGCTTGGCTCTAACCTTCAGTTGTCATAAAAATTGATGTCTACAGTTTGTCTTTGGGTAGGAATGGCACAGTGAGTTTGTATAAATTAGATTTGAAGTCTATTATACTACAACCATCTTAAAATAAAATAACCCATGTAAATCTGTTAAAGTAATATCTCAGAGACTTGTGGATGATGGAAGGATGAGGACAAGAGAAACAAATATGAAAATCAATATCTATTCATGAGATTACAAGTCAAATGTAAAAGTGTTCCAAGTAGACATCCATTATCTACAAATACAATATAAATCCCTCATAGCTGTTGATGGCAATGCTGAATGGTACTATAAAAAAGAAAGCTATATTACCTTAACCAAGTTAAAATAAATTGACATTAAACAAATCACCAGTGCTTCAGAGTGAAGCAAGGATAGTGTTGTTTAAGTCAGAGCTTCCCAAAGTTGGGATCATGACCTCACATCAGGCCACAAGCTGAAATTCTAGGTTTGCAAGCTCAGACAGCCATGGGTAAACCCCTTCTCCTTGCTCCAAAAAGTTAACTCCTCTCCTGTCACAGCTCACTAAGAGGTTACAATAGTTTAAGCCTCAAATTGGAGTCAGTTGCAAACAGTTTGGGAAGCATTAATTTAAAAGGATTGTGAAATTCCATTATACAAACATCTTTCACATTGTACAGTTGCAAGTGTGTTTAGGGAAGCCAGTGGTTTTACTTGCTTTAAATTATCAAGTTACAAATCTGTTGCAAAAGTGCCATTTTATTTTTTTAAACAGAACTTCAAGTATTTTAAGTCAAAGTTTATGAAATGATACAGAAAAAAAGTTGTTGTAAAAAGTTTCTAAAAAGTAGCCTACATACATACAGCTATTAGTATATATATATCTTAAATCAATTCAGGGTCTGTTGGGAAGTTTGACAGCAGCATTTTCACAGGGTTCAATGTCCATCGTCTCTTCAGTGGTCAGGTCTGAGCTCGGCTCTGTGGACTGAGCATCACCAGCTGCTAAACCACAACACAACACTACAGGCTGTGCCTCACTGCTGACCAGTCCAGAGATAGATCGGTTTGACATTTCTTCACTCTTCACCAATCCAGCGCATAAGTCTGCGGATTGCTCCTTACTCCCTGGGTGGGGGTTATTGGAGGCAGAGTTGAGGGAATGGGGAAGAGGAGGAAAGGGGAAAAAGATAAGCATCCCATTCGTAAACAGCCATCATAAATTTTGGGAACTTATAACAGATATTCTTCAGTAACAGCCTGTAACTGTAATGCACAATAAAATAGTCAATGGTTCAGCAGTATAACCTCAAAACACAAGATCAAATTCCACTATGCAATATTCAAATTCAGTTCAAATACATTAAAATTTTTTTAAAAATTCTATGATCAGTAATGGTTTCAATCACAAGAAATATAGTTCACAGGGGTGCTTTAGGGAGCAAGTCTGCCATTTTTACCCAGATACGTATTATGACAATCAAACCACAGAAATGTGTTTGATGTTTAAATCTCTCCACAACGTGCTCTAGCAAGCCAAGTGTACTGAAGGCAGTGTCACCACTGTAGGTGGTTACCAATGTTTCATGAAACAAAACCAATGTTTGAGACCCAGTACCAAAGATTAACTTTGATCTAATTGGCAAAGCAGTTGTGTTTAAAATAGTCAAAACCTGACCCTGACCTGGTAACAAATTTAAAAAAAAATGAGGTAATAAAATAGAAAAAAGTAGATAATCCAATTACAGACAAAAAAAAACAGAGACAACCTTTCCAGCAAGACCAAGTGTGTAAATAATAGTAAAGAGGGAACATGATAAACGACACAAGAATGAGCATCACATAATGCATACAGGTTTGTCTGCAACTAAAATGCTCAGTTCTCAATACATGTCTCCATACAGGTCAGTGCAGCTATTTGAAATATTGAGGATGCTTTTATATAAAAGAATAAAAATCAACTGTGTACCTTCTCTGTTTGGAGCAGGATTATTTGTGTGTACTTCAACAATAACACAGTCTGCATCATCATCTTCTTCTGTATCTGCTTGAAAACCATCTGTCTCCATTACTTCAGTCTAGAAAACAAGAAGTGCACCACAAGGTTAATCTGTTTTTTCAATATCATCTCCAGTTTTATCTGAATATTGGCACAAGTGAAGCATCGCAGGAACCAGATAAAAGCTGTTGCATACAAAATAAGCCTCAAAAGTACACAAAAAAAAATCACAGCAAGGCAAAAGAAAATTAGTGTTCCAGTTTAAGAGACACTCCCTATCTTGCTAACTAGAGAAAAATAAAACATTGCCTAACATGTTGACAGCAGCTGATAATTTTGAGTACTCAATATTTTGCTGAAAGACCAATCCAGAGACAGGTGGTTGACATTAAGAACTGTTCCACAAGTCTCTCTTTTGCTGCAAGTATTTCCTTCCTGCAAACTGGAATGGAGACAGAGGGGAGTACGTTTGGCATAATATAGTAAAATTCATGTAAACCATTCAGGTGGTGCTGATAAATCATATGCCAGTTCCCCTTTGCAGTTTGTGGTAATAGTTGGAATCAAAACATATCTTGACATATACTATAACTTTAAAAAACTGGAGTCTCTTCAACTGTCAGGATCAACCTCAAAATGATATCATGTTTTGAGCAGTCAATTGGCCCAAAGCTCATGGTCTATTCAGTCAATACATATTTTCATACATCTTAATTGTTCCACCTTGAGATAGCTTTCAATTGTTACTCAACATGCTAAATATGTGGAATACTGGTGGACTTTTCACCATTGCATATAAATTCAAAAAATCCTTGACTGCCTGCACAGAAATCATTTCAGCATATAAACTTTAATCTACAGAATCCGCCAGGACGGAACTTCTGGAGTTTACCAAAGCTCCAGAAAATACTTAGTGACTACTGTTTGGTCTTGATTTTAACACATTCAAGCTAGTCGATAAATATCCAAATGTAAATGGTTGAGCTACTGCATTATGTCCAGTATCAATGGCCATTGGTTTTAAGTAGGCTGGTGTGGGGCTGGGATATAGAAAACGACAGATACAGATGGTGGGGGGGTGTGGAGCAGAATGAGACACTATTTCAACTATCAATTGGTGCACATGATGGAAAAATGGAGTCTAAATACTGGGTCAGGGAATGATATTCACAGGATGACAAGAAAAAAATATATAGGTTTACTAGTCCAAGAGAAGTAACCTTTGCACAATTTGCAGTAATGATTTGTTCCCCCCCCACCAAACAGTGACGGTCTAATTATTTTCTAAACCTCAAGTGGAAACATGCAAAAACAAGAATTTAATCTGATCTCGCATTTGGAAGTAAGAGTTTTCCAATCTTTAAGATTTGTTTTGATTTATTATTATCACGTGTACTGAGGTACCGTGAAAAGTGTTGTCTTAAGTGCTTTACAGGCAGATCATTCTATACAAGTGCATCAGGTTATAAAACAGGAGTGCAGAATACAATGTTACAACTACCGAGAAGGTGCAGAGAAGTCAACATTAACATTAAAAGAAGTCCATTCAACAGTCTGATAACAGCAAGGAAGAAGCTGTTCTTGAATCTGTTCATACATGTAAACGAACATATATCTTCTGTGCAATACAATAGGGTGGAAGAGAGTATAACTGGGGTGTTCGATTATGTTAGTTGCTTTCCCAAGGCAATGGGAAGTATAGATGGAGTCAATGGATGGGAGGCTGGTTTGCATGATGGACTGGGCTGTGTTCACAACACTATAGTTTATTTTGGTTTTGGGAAGAGCAGTTGCCATGCCATGCTGTGATGCAAGCGGGTAGGATGTTTTCTATGGTACATCCACAAAAATTTGTAGGAGTCTTTATGGCCATGCCGAATTTCCTTAGCCTCCTGAGGAAGCTTTCTTAACAGAGGTTTGCTCAGATTAAGATCAATAAGTTAGCAATGGTAGATTTCAGTATAAACGGAAATAGCTGTTTGAATTGAACTGAACTGCACTGCAATTTTCCATCTTCATGTCAAGATACTGCAAGTTTTCACTGCAGGCTTCTTGGCTGTAAATCAAATCAGATTCAGATCCCATCAAAATCTAAAGTTTGGACAATCTTAGTCTCTGTCAATTGCAATGAGTAGGTCGCTGTCTAGGCAGCATTTATTGCCAATCCCTAATTGCCAAAAGGGCAGTTCGGAGTCAACCACATTGCTGCTTGGAGTCACATGTAGGCCAGACCAGGTAAGGATGGCAGTTTCTTTCCATAAGGGGCACTGGTGAACCAGATGCATTTCCCGACAATCGACAAATGGAGTCATGGTCATCATTAGATTCTTAATTCCAGATATTTTATTGGCTTCAAGTTCCACCATCTGCTGTGGCAGGATTTGAACCCAGGTCCCGAGAACATTATCGGGGTCTCTGGATTAACAGTCCAGTAATAATACCACTAGGCCATTGCATCCCCTTAAATCGCAGAAAAGGAAAAGGATGACCAGTATGGGTACCTGGCTAATACTGCAGAGGTGTCTATTGTGTTAAGCAACAATCCTTCCCACAATGGTAAGCTATCACTTTTAGGAGTTGCTGTTGATTGCAATAGGTTACAAATCTTTGAGGAGGTTCTGCAATTAAGCAGGGTCTTGGGACATTTAAAATTATTACATTCAAAAGTTTTTGTATCATCAACTGAACAAATTCCAATGTTTCCTCCAGCTCACCAGCTCCATAATTTCCTGATTTAGTTCCATGCACTACATTGCCTCTTAATGATCTCTTCTTTTACCAGTCATTTCCTTGTATCCATTTCAACTCTTAATCATGGGCAACTTCACAAAAAAAATAGGATTGGCTTCTGATTGAATGCTGACACCATCAAGTTCTAAGAGGTCAGTTAGCTCACTTGTCTGAATGGCTGGTTTGCAATGCAGACTTATGCCAAAGGTGTGGATTCAATTCTCGTACTGGCTAAGGTCATCATGAAGGTCCCACCTTCTTAACCTCACTCCTTCGCTAAGGCATGGAGACCTTCAGGTTAAGAGACCTTCAGAGACAGCCGTCTCTCTAATGAGAGAGCAGCACAATGGACCTCTGGGACTATGCTGACGTTACCTTTCTACCACTTCTGTTCACCTAGAAATTGCTGCACTATTCTCCAGTTGTCACAACCTGTCCCCAGTTTTATTTTGGCAAAAATCAAAGTTCCTAACAACATTCATGTCACTCCAGTAACCTGCATGATTGCCACCTTAGAAAATACATAGTAGACATTTCTCAACTATGAGCTAAGTTTCTGAAGACTCGAGACTTGACTACTCCTGCATGCCTTGTTAAATTTGTTGAATTTCTCCCATCACCCTAATGGTGTTGTGCCCTGTGAATAACTGCTCCCCTCACCACCCATTACTCTGCCCACCAGTAGACATGCCTTCATCTTCTCGTTAATACATCAGCAAGTGCTTGTTTCAAGCTACTACCTGATTCTCCAATCCTCAAAAACCACAAAAATACTCAGCTTAATCAACTCCAACACTGTCCGCTGCTATTAGTGGCCACTTTTTGACCTCAATACAAAAAAGCTACCAGCATTTCTCAGGAAAATTTTTCATTATAAAGTGGGAGTGATGAGAAAAGAGGTTTCTTAAATAAGAAAGCATACAAGAGAATTAAATGTAATTCACTGATAGGACAAGATCTTACCTGACCATCAGCATCTACAAACTTGTGCATAAACTGTTTGATTGACATACTTCCAGCAGCTTTCCTCTTGCTTGAGCCAGTTACACATTGCCCTGTATTCCTTCCCAAACAAGGAGAATTCTGTCCACTTCCTGCTGGAATGGTATTTTCCTCCTTGACTGCAGATTGGACTTGTGTGAGATAATGCCACTGTCCTGGAACAGGAAGATTCTCCATCCTAAATTTTTTCAGCACCTCTTCATGTACATACCAGCACTTCAGCCTGAAAGCCGTTCTTTTCTCATACACTCCATTTTCTGAAATAAGCCGCTGCAATTTTGCCTTGGATGGAATGGTCAAGTCATCATCCACTGTGGGAGTCTGAGGTCTGGAGGCATCAGATCCTACAGGACCCGAGGAATCAGAAGCAGCAAACGCAAGCATGTGTGCAGAAGGTTTCTGTTTGTACCATTCCTGAAATTCTTTGATAATGGCCTTTCTGCCATTCACATTT